GCTGATTGCTTGGAGGAGCAGCCTCCCTTCGGCCCAGCTGGGCAGGGGCTCCCCGTGCCTGGAGACCTGCTGGCCTCTGATCGCCGCCGGCAAGGTTCACATTGCCTCTGGAAACATAGGAAAGGGTGGGAGGCAAGCAGACTTGGTGGGCAGCAGCTTTGGGAAGAGGGGAGGCAGAGCGAGCGTGGCGGTGACACGCGTGGCAGCGGGCCGGGCACTGCTGCCCTCATCTGCGAGCTTCTCCCTAAAGCGTTTCTCTGGCCTGTGTGGGCACGGTGTTCCCAGAGCCAGTGACGCTGGCAGATCGCCTGCTTTGAAATACAGCCGAGAGTACTCTGGAACGCAAATTCGGCACCTCAGGTCCGTGGTCAGCTGGTTGAGAGTCTCAGTAGGGTGACTGTGCACTGTCACTGTTTCAGGACTGTCAGTCACTGCACTGATAATTTTCTGCGCTGTAAGTTTATTGGGGAGTACAGTCGATTGTGTTGTCACAAGTCTTCATGCACTCCGATTAGTGTTCTGTGTCTTTTGATGTGTTCTGGCAGGGAGAACTTTACAGAAAATTATTTGGCTGTGTTTCTTCACACAGCAATTAGGTAGTGGCTTTTAAATCCTCTTGCTGGCTGCCATAGGTTGCTGTTTGTAATAGCAATTTTAGCAATTTTCTGGAACTAATTAAAGCAGTGTATTGGCCTAGAGAATTTGCTGTTGAGCACCTTGTCTTTCTTGTAGCTGAGGAGAGGATTGTTAATTCAGATTTATATATGTTAATGTGCCTGAGGGGCTTAAAGTAATTGCATTTGAACTACTGGTACAAACTTACATGCTGAGCATTGCTTAGACTTGTTCTGAGGCATCCTTTACCTCCTCCCAGCAGCTTGGAGCTCTCCAACTGAATCTTCTTGTTTCAGAATATTTGTTAAAGTAGGCACATCTGGCTCAGGATGGGTGTCCTTTTGGAACTGATGAATTTTTCTTCTTTATATTAACAAGCAGTTTTAGGTTCCTGTGCACTTTCAGTAGCTGCCTTTGGGGCTGAAATAATAGGACTTAATTTATATCTTTGCCATCTGTGTTCATCATGAAAGTATTCTTCAAAATGGGTTGCAATAAAGAAAAGAACTATCTGCTAACTACTCCTGTCTTCAAATAGCAGAGAACTTTGGTTTTTTGTGGTGTGAACTGCAAGCAAAGAGAGATCAGAGTTTAAATTAAGTGTTTGTGTAAATTCTTTGTATGTTTATTTCTTGTATCACTGTTTCCACAGCTCTGAAGAGACCACTTTCCAGCTAAAGATGGCTGCTGATACCTCTGTGGATATCCTTCAAAAAGTTCTGGAGAATGAAATACTTCAGTCAGCCAAGGTTGTGGAAGAACATCTGGATGCTGAACTACAGAAGCTGGACCAAATGGATGAAGATGAATTGGAACGCCTTAAACAGAGGAGGCTTGAGGCCCTAAAAAAGAGCCAGCAGCAGAAACAAGTAATTTCTGTAGTATAGACTCTTGATGTGTAGAGTGTGACAGAATTTTTGGAAATTGTATATGTGAACTAAGTGTTTTGGGGTTGTTTGGTTGGTTTTGTGGATTTTTCCCTTTCTCTCCCTTCTGTGTTTATTAATTTTAAATTATCCAGGAAAGTAGGTGTCTGTCCATGTGTGCATGCTTTGTGTTTTTAACAGGAGGAGAGAAGCACCTCTGTGGTTGTTACAGTAAGGATAGGATAAGGAGTTTCATACAGAGATTTGAGTGTGTCCCTGTTCACTGAACATTGCTCTCTGGAAGCATAAGTCCTGTAGGCAACCTAACCATAAGGCTTTAGGCTCTTTCTGAAGTGTCTTCTTCTGAAGCTTCTGGATTTTTACTTACAGCATGTGATATGTGCCCCCTTGTTAAGGTATTTTGTAGAAGGGTGAAATGGGATTTTTCCTTGGTCCTAGGCTGGAATCATTTGTCAGACTCCTTTTGAGCCAGTGAAATGTTGGCTTTGTGTGACTGCTCATTTCCTCCTGCAGGAAGGAAATACTCCCTTGGGACCTGACACCTCATGTCAAATGAGGTCTTTATGCTCCCTGAGGGCTCTTTTTGAGCAATAGCTTACACCATAATTTTGGTAACATATGGTGTGAGACCTGAATTATAAGTAAGGAAGCTGTAGGTTTCTCAGCCTATTCCATCTGAGCTAACCTAAACAAGAAATTGATTGTGGTGGAGGAGAAGTGGCTTGGCTGAAAGGAGATGCCTGGCTGTGATGGAGTCCTTAAAAGCTGGTGCCAGACTTTGAAATGGGAATGCAGTGAAATATCATGGCTTGGCTGGGATGCTGCAGGACAGGCAGCACCAGCAGCTTTGGTTCTGTAAACACAGAAGTAGAGAAAGTGGCACACTATTCACTTGTCTTCAGAAGTTCAGTTTATATTTGATTCTAGCATTCTCCTTTTTCAGAAGTCATGACACTTAGGTGTCCTTGGATGTGAACATGTGATAGATCTCATGCAGAAACTTCTTCATGTGTTTGGGCTTAAGTCACTGTTCTCACACACTTTCAAGTGCAAATGTGGAGGAGGATACTGCTCAGTAAAAGGAGTGTGCTGTCACACTATTCCACAATAAATCTGTGGAGAGGGGAATTAATGCATAATCACTGTTGAGGGATAACTGAGTTCTTGATTTGCATCATAGTGACTTCTTCATATGCTCATACTTCCATGAATTTTTAATGTGTACAGTATTCAGGAGAGTCTTTGTTCTATCCTAATTTAGCTTACAGGGTATCTTTGGTTCACTTGGAAACCTTTTTTTTATTTCACCTTCCTAAAACAAAACTGCAAGATTAAGAACAGTGATTTATCTAAATTTTTTTCCCCCACTGGAAAGTTAAAGTTTTTGTCACTTTTTGTCATACTGCACTACTTCTAATCATGTAGATTAGTCTGTACTTGTTTAAATACACTGCAATTACATTTTAGTAATATAGAGGTTGTGGGGTTTTTCCTTTAAGTGTGTTTCTTGAAAATGTGGAAGATTAACTCTTTGGAAACTGTGTTGGCACACTTAATCAGACAGGTTTTGAAGTTACTTCTAAATTTTAGCTTGTGACATTCTGTTTCTCTGTCAGTGTTATGACTGATGGTGCACATGTGTTTTCTGCATGATTTTCTGTGAGACTGGTTCATGTTAAGATCCCTTCAGTGTATATTTGATAGGTAAATATCATTTATTGCAGATGAGTTAGTAGGCTTTTTCTCTCACAGATTTTTTTCATAGAGTAAAAAAAAATTAAAAATGTATTTAATTAATGTAATTACTTGACTAAGTTTAGACGAGTTCTTTGAGTGTACATAAAAATTTTCAAATGCCAAGAGTTTTTGTTGTATTCTTTGAACTACTCTTGTCTTACTAAGAGGCTGCATTGCAGAATTTTGTGTAGCTCTGTACAAGATTTGTGTTTACAAGTAAGTAAGGTGGCCTTATCTATGTATTTTTAAAATAAAACTGAAGGGGAGGAAATAATTTGTTTCTCTACTACTGTATGAAATGGGTTTTCCCTGCAGGCCCCCTCTTCCATTTTCTAAAAGCTGTAGAGTTTGCACCACAGATAGACTAACAACCTCCATACTAATTATTTGCTTTTATGTTTTTCAAGGAGTGGCTTTCAAAAGGACATGGAGAATACAGAGAAATCCCGAGTGAGAGAGACTTTTTCCAAGAAGTCAAAGAAAGTAAAAATGTGGTTTGCCATTTCTATAGAGATACAACATTCAGGTATAGTAACTAAGCTGTGCTGAAGAAACTTTTGTTTAAAAAT